AGGGGGGCAGGCGCCCGGGCTGGGGGGCACCCAGCTGGTCCGCGGGGGTGGGTTAAGGCAGTTTGGGGGCCAGCCCCGGGGGGCCCCTCGCAGGCAGGGCCATGCTGGGGGCAGCCGGGGGTGGTGCGGGCGCTCAGAGGATCTGGCGGGGCATGCCATAGCCTGTCATGCCGGCCTGCGAGGCACCCCGGTTGGTGCCCATCTGCAGCCCGATGACGCTCTGGCCCTCCTTCAGCTTGTCCTCGGAGAAGATGCGCCGGTTCTCCTGTGACTTCCTGCGGGCATGGCGGGTGTCAGCATCCCCACGGGACCCCACGGCCCGACACCCCCCTCAGCACCCACCACCTACTTGGGGAACCAGTTGGGGTCTCCCACGAAGAGCCCATCGCCCTTGGCCACGGCCAGGCTGCCCAGGTTCATCAGGGTCCTCTGCACGCACGCCATGTTCTTCCCTGCAAGGCCCCAGGCAGGCTCAGCCCTGTCCCCATCCATCCCCATCCCTGTCCCCCACGCCCACCCAGCCGCTCACCTTCCCAGAGGTCGACAGTCTGAAAGATGTCGGTGGCGGCGATGCCGTAGCGCTCGGCCGCCTGCAGAAACTGCGAGATCTGCTCCATCTGCTTGAATGCCATGGCAGACGCCTGGATCTTGGCCACCGGCGCCTGGCCCCGTGGGTGCAGGCTGTTGATGAGCCGGCACAGCACCTGGCCGGGAGGGAGACCCCGCGCCCCGCCGGCCCCGGAGGGTACGCACGGTGCCGTCCTTCAGCCACTGCTGGAAGCCATCTCTGCCAGGCGCCGGCTGTGCGACATCCCCACCGCACTGCGCCAGGATCCACCGCACCAGGACCTGCTCCAGCTCAGGGTCGTACTGCCGGTCAATCTTCTGCTGCACCTCCCGGCTCAGGCCGTACGATGGTCCCCGGTTTGCCATGCTGACGGCGGAGGGGTCTGCAGAGATTGGACCCCCGTCAGCAGCCCTGGTGGCACTGGGGCATCCGGCATGGGACAGACATGGCCTCGTGCCCGCAGCATGGTGGAGGCCCTCGGGGACAGCAGGTGACAGTGGGCATGGTAGCTGCTCCCCACCAGCAGATGTGGCAGAGCCCCATCCTGCGCAGTCAGGCTGCCTGGATGTCCGGCGCGGAGCCTTATCGCCTGTGCCAGGCGCTGCCCGGGCTCTGCCCTGCCCCGCCTGCTTCCTGCCCAGCTGGCCAGGAGTGGGTGCTGGGTCCATGCCCACCCAAGGGCGACAAGGCAATTTGACCCTGGGCAGGGTGGGCAGCACCATGGCCCCTCAATGCCAGGGGCAGACCCCCTGCCCCGAGCATCCCTGTCCCTCCGGCTCGGCACCGTCAAGCGCGCGCACAGACTTGGCAGGCACTCGCTGCCCGTCGAAGCTTGTTTGCGAAGCTCACCCATTTGCTCAGGCCAGGTGCCAGATCCGGGACTGGCGCGGGAGCACAGGGCCTGGGGCTGCCGGCAGTGGTGCCCCCACTCTGGCAGGGGAGCCGGACCTGGCGGGGCCTGTGGCAGGGCACTGCCCTTGCCAAGGTGCCACGGAGCCAGTGCCACCCGTGCTGGGAAGGATGGAGGTTGTGCAAGGTGCCCATGGGGGGGATGCGAGCCGACCAGCGCTGCCCTGCCCATGCAGCCAGGGTGCTCCAAGCCCTGGGGTGATCTGGACCCTCTCTGCCCACCAGTGACGCAGTGGGCACGTGGGGCTGCCCAGGCCATGCATTGCCTTCTGCACCCGGTTCTGCACCCCTGGTGTTTGGGGGGGCACCCTGGCATGCAGAAGCAGGAGCACAGGCTGCTCCCCCCGGGCGTGTGGGTGCCCCTGCCAGCCCCGGTGCCCAAGCCCCAGCTGGGGACATGTGGCAGCTGCTGGCCTGGGGCAGCCCAGCCCACACCTGGGGGGACGAGGCTCAGTTTGGGACAGAGCTCGACCCCATCACACGCCTGGCTTCAGGCTCGGGACTCCTGTCACCAGGAGCAGCCAGGGGACAAGCCACCCCGGCTCATTGGGACAGGAGGCAAATCAACCCCAAGCCCCCAGGGAAGCTGGCGGCAGCAGTGGGGCGGCCGTGCGAAGCCTCAGCGCTGTGGCCACCCCGCAACCGCAGCTCAACGGTCCCCCCAAAGCCGTCGGCTGCCGTGGGGGTCCCCCGGGCACGGGCAGCCCCCCCCGGGGGGGG